TGAGTTATTATTAATTTTATTTCATACAATTTCATTGTTCAATATCAAATTAAAGCGAATGATTGAGTGCCAAACGACTAAATGAAGATAAATTGTTTGAATAAAATCAAATAATTGGGGTCAGATCAGTATATTATTTTTTTTTGTTTTGTTCCTGCATAGCCAATAAATAGTTCAGTTATGCTGAATTGCACAAAAACTCAATAAAAATGCTGAAAGTCATGAAGGATTAAAATAATATTTTTAAAAATAAAAATAATTCTCATGTTTTTTTGTGACCGACAATTGAATGATAAATGTGGAATAAAGCTTTTTTGGATATATTTTCAAATAAAAATTTATTGAAACAATTTTTCAATTGAACTTGCGTGTTGCCAAAGGTATTATGACACTTTATAAAATGTATCTACTGGAAACTCACCTTCGTTAATACACTGATGACATAAAGGACTTTTCTATAGAAATTTATGGAATGTATGGAGATGTGAAATAGATTTAAGCTGTTGTTGTGTTACATTTCATGATTGAAATCTTGAATGGCTGGTCAGACATGATACACGTTATAGGAATTGTATGAAATGTATGCATAATATCCTTTGAACACACTGCTTGATGTCTAAGTTTAAGGGACGAAAATCTTTCAATCTGAAATTTTTCAAAATTATCAATAAATAATTAAAAGAATCAAAAACTTTTTTGTTTTTCAAAATTTTTCATTTTATTTACATTACAACGTGACAATCTTTTTTTGTGTGACTTTTGACTTAAATGAAAAAGAAAAGCTTAATTAAAGCTCATAATTTCCAAATGTGAATGCATATAATAAATAATCTGGCGTTATCAAGTTGATTTCATGATGAATGCAAAATCAAAGTTGAATTTTTAAATTAGAATCTTAAATAAGAATTTTACTTTAAATCTCTACCATCAACATTGGAGTCTCAATCAACAACAATTAAATCTCATAGGATAGAAAATAAGTAACATTTAAAGCAAATGAGCATTTTTTGCGATAGTTAAAAGATTTGGAATTTTCTTGTTGACATTCACCAGAAAATCTTTCAAAAGTATTAAAACAAAAGATTTTCATTTTAATTTCAATTTGTTTTCGTCTAAAACTTTCCATTTTGCACTTGAAACTAATTTTCCATTTCATTAAAAATGCTATATTAGAAAATTCAATTAAATATCATAATCAAATTGCCATATGCTCATTTATTTTTTCAATAACAAGAAACATTCAAGGATAAAAAAAACAGTTTTTGGTTCTCTTTCGAACAAGAGAATTAGAGAAATTAAGATTGAAAGTTTTAAGGATGAAATGAATTTTTAGATTTGATGTGAACATTTGAATGAATTTTAGTTGAGATCAGGGGCGTGAAACTGATCAAAAACTATCAAAATTGATTAAAAGTTATCAAAATGTGATTTCTCAGTTCCAAATCGCAAATCTCTTCAGAGTCTGGCAAAACTAAACTGATCCAGATCAGCTTTTCTAAACTGATCAAAAAGTTGAAATCCTTCCAAATTTTCACATAAAACCCAAAAGTTACCATCCCCAAAAATTCAAAACAAAATATCAAAAAAAGATGTGAATGAAAAACAATTTCTAATTAGATTTTCCCTGCATTATTAAGAAAGCGACGACATTGCATCTTAAGCTTTTAACGCATTTACCGTAAACAAAGTAAAAGAAAAGCAGAAAAACTTTTCATGCATCATTGTCGACTCTGTGAATTTCTATTTCACTCAAAAAGCTTGCTAAAAACTTTGCCAATTAGTGACTAAAAAGTTCATTGCTTAATCTAGAAAACAGCATCAGTGTTGCAATGTCTTAATAAATTTTATTTCATAATTTTTTTCATAAGCGATTTTTGCATCATTTTAAATTAAATTTTCGTTCACACATTAACCGAATAAGAATTTGTTAAGCATAGAAGAATTTATGATGAAGCATTGTTTGCCCACAAGAAAGTTTTTCAATTTATTATCTAAAGTCATGCTGCTTTGCGAAATTTATTGAAAATCTTTGTATCTTATTTGGAATGAGCTAGTTGCTCAGTCGCGCGTGGAAAAAGTTTTGAATTTTATTAATTTAACTTGCTTTAAGAAATCTTTAAAGTTATCGAAATGAAAATGATAAATTTCTAAATGATCACAAATGATTTAAATTTTTTTATAAAGCTTTGCCTTCTTTTTAAATATTTTCATATTCGTTCATTTATTTTCTTTTGTTATCATAGATAGAATTTTTAAATTTTGATATGGTTATAAAAAGGATCAAGAGTAGGGTCTTAGTGGGGTTTTGAACAGTCAAAATTGATCAAAGATTATCAAAAATCTTTGAAAGATTAATTAAATGATAAAAAATATTAAATTTGATCTAAACTTATCAAAACTTGTCAAAACTGATCAAAAATGTTCAAAACTGATCAAAACTTATCAAAACTGATCAAAAATGATTAATTTTATTTTGTTCGAAAATCCCACATTCAATTATTAATGAAATTCTTCACAAAACCCCAACGAAAAATTTCATCTAGAGACAAAAAAAATCTTTAAACTTTTCATTTATTTAAGTATAAAAAGCATTTATTTTTATATCAATTCTTTTCTATTTCATTTAATTACTTTATTGTAAATATTCTCATGTAATAAATAATTAAATATTTCCTTTACTTTAAATTTATTTATTTCTCGCAGTGCTGATATTATTAGTTTCATAAGTTATTAGAGGAATAAAAGAAGGAAAAAAGATTTTCTTTTTTTATTATTTTTTAAATATGATAAGTTCAATCCGCTCACAATGATATTGGTAATAATATGTGTATGTAAGAATATTTATGATGAAAGTATTTACTTCGTACTTTTTTATGCTTCGTCTATATAGATTATGATTATATAACGAAAAAAACTTTCAAGAATCAACAAATATGATTCAAAAATAACAAGGAGAGAGGAACAAAGCCATTTTTGTATATTGTGTAAGTGGGCACCATTTGATTTCACTCTTTCCATTTCCAATTTACTTTGTTTCTTTCTTTTTAAAATTAACGCACTTTTCTTTGGATGGATAAAATTTTATTTTCTCAATTACTTTAAATGGCTGCTCTAAAGTGATGAAAAATTACTCGAAAATGTTTTTATTAAATTGATAATTTTTTTTTGAAAAATTTGTTTAAATTCTTTCTTTAAAAAAATCTGAAAAATAAGCGATAATTTGTCAAAAGAAAAATGCGCCATGTAAAGGTTACCAATAATGACTTTCACGTGACTTAAACCTTTTCATATTCACAGACAAATTATGTTTCGCATTCATGCATAAGGAAAGGGGTCAAAAAAGAGTCTAACGATGGAAAACGTGTAGAATTGAAGACTAAGTATACAAACAATGAATATTAATTGGAAATAACTCATAATATTAATTAATCAACTTTGTTTGTTTAAAAGGAAAAGAGAATTATAACAATCAGGGTTGATGATTGGTTTAGGAGTTGGAAAATCTAGTCCAAAATATTAGTAATCACAAAAATCTTAATTCACAAAAGTTCTAATCACAAAATTCTAGTCCAAAAGAATTTGAATTTTTAACAATCTAGTCCAAAAATATTTGAGTTACAAAAATCTAGTCCAAAAACATTTCAGTCTAAGAAATCTAGTTCAAAATATTTTTTGTCGCAAAATATCAATTTGAAAATTTTTGAGTCACAAAAAAAGAATTTTAAAAAATTTTCAACTCGAAATTCTAGTCCACAAAAGTTAAAATCACACGATTTCAACCTATAAAGTATTTAAATGTCAAAAATCTTGTCCTTAAGTCTGTGATACAAATATTCTAGTACATCAAAGTTTTAGTCCCAGAAAATCTAGTCCAGCAAATGGAAAAAAAATCTAGTCCACAAAACATACAATCACAATAAATCCAGTCCATAAAAAATCTAGTCCTGAAATCAAATTTTTTAATTATTAATATTTTAATCTAAAAATCCAATCACACAATTTCATCAACCCTGATAACAACCATGATCACTTGCATTTATATAGTAATAATAATAATAAATTTTATTTTTATGGAACATGAAATGTTCATTTTACATCACGCATTAATGCACTGCATAAATTAAGACTTATGCAAGGAATCTACCTAACGGTTCTACATGAACAAGATGAATTAATTTCGTCTCACATGAATGACTTCATCTCATCAAATGAAATAAAATAAAATAAAAAAATAATAAAAAAAGCGTAAACGATTCTTTTTTAATCATAAAGATCATAAAGTTATATCCATATTAATGTAATGTATATGTCTAATAATTTTCATTATTTAATCCCAACGACTGCAAACAAAGAAAACTTCAGTTAGATTCGAAAAATTCAAACTGAAATTCGAAAAATTTCGAACTGTTTCGAACTATTAAATTTTTTAAAAAATAAATGATCGTTAGGGAATTAATAAAAATATATTTATTATAGTTATTTTTTGAAGCAAAATTATTCGTTCTATCTACCAATCGACTTTGAAATTGTAATTTTACTCTAAATTCAACAAAAACTTTTAATAATTTATCAATTGTATCTTGACAATGTTCAAAATCGACTTCAATTTGTGCAATTACTGTATTAATGAATTTCTGGTTAAAGGAAGGATCAGAACATAAGGTAAAACAATTAAGCTGTCTATAAATAAATTCAAGAATACACAAGAAATGTTTTTTTTTTCACAGCAATATTCAATATTATGCAATTTAAGAAATTCAATCCACTTATCTTTATGCACAGAGCTTTTTGAAAGTTTAAAACAAAGGTATTTTATTGGTTTTCTTTCCTTTACAACCAGTAATTACACAATTTCTGACCATTTTAAAAAATGAAATTTTATAAATTCAATAAAGACCAAGAAATGTAAACAAATATTTTCAACGGAAATTTTAAATTCAAATCAAGTTCGAAAATGAAGTACTTATTTCCGAAAATGAGTTCTTGTTTGCAGTCGTTGGATTTAATCAAATCTTGTTTCAATTTGATTTTCTAAATTTTACTATATAAGCATTTCGTGTTATAAATTTGTGGAATCGCCTTGATCAGCCGAGGATCGTGGCCTTGCTGGTGGTGGAACTTGTGGCCTCTTTATTTTTGCCTCACGAGGTGAAGGTGGAACATTTTGTTGCTCATCCGATGAGTTAAGTGCATCATTTGAGGATCGAAAATCTTGACTATTTTCCTTATTTTCAGCATCGCTTAAAAAGAGTTGTCGACGAACTGGCTGTGGTGAACCAGCCACTGGCACATCAATGATCGATACTTGTTGTTTCTCTATATTATACATGGTAACTTGCTTCGGTTGTGATGTTGAATCACTGACATTTCCATTCGATTCTGATGTGCGTCCTTCCCGTAATGAATTATTTCGTTTGACAGTCACAGCATTTGATTTATTGCCAAAATTTGATGTCAATTCTTCCACTAATTTTTCATTTGTCATGAATGACGTTGGTGATCCAAAGCCAGTTGCAGCTCGAAATGACGCTGGTCTCATGAGAGTAACTGGACGATCAGGAATTGCTGGCTTTTCTCGCATTGCCACATCCAAATTTTCTTCACTCCTTTCCAATTCTGATTTCACGACAGTTGATCGCGGTGCTGCAACTGGTCTCGCTAGACCTGTCGATGATTTATCTTTTAATGGCACTTGGCGAATCATGGCTTTTGACATTGTTTGACATTCAGCATTAACGACTATTGGTCGTGGTGGTCGATCGGGTTTTGCTAGAATATTTTCGGTACTTCCAGCTTTTCTTAAAATTCCAATCCTCGAGTCATCCACAACAATGGCCGGATCGGAATCAATAAAACTAAAATTAGATGTATCTAAAAGCTTAGAAACAGTCATCGGTGCTGAAAGTTTTGACTCAAGCTTCGCTTTTAATGGTTGTGGTGTTATTGCTGGTGGAACTGGTGCTTTTGGTTTTCTACGCGGTAACTTTGGCGATCCCGTCGTTGGACTTGTGTCCGACAATGAGCTATTTGACTGGCTTGATTTCATCGGTGGATTACTTAATAATATAAGACTAGTATCATGACTACTCGATCGTGAGTGAGACATTTTTGCAACAGTTACAGGACCATTTTTAACATTCTCACCAACAATCATCGACATTGACATATGATCATGTTTGGTATGGATTACTGGCTGCTCTTTATCGAATGGAAATCCACCATTGTCGGGAAAGAGCTCATCTCGACTCATCGTTTCATAAAAATTCACCTCGCCATGAAAGAAAAAATCCCAATCACCAATTAATGTTTCAACTACCGTATTCACAGCCGATGTTGATGTAACCTATGGAATGAGGAATGGAAACATATTAGCACATGTTAATTAAATGCTCCTGGATTATGACTTTTTGAGAATTATTTAAATTTCAACTAATTTTGAACTGCTGTAATCCTCACTTTATTTTTGTTCATTTTAAAGCTCTTAATCGGATCAATGGAAGTACATAAATGCTTTCGCACATTAAGTTGAATTCAAATAAAAGGGTTGATATAGCTTATGCTGCTATTATTGAGGAAGATGAACGAGTTTGGAGTTTGTTTTGGCTAAATGCACTTGTATAGTAAGTGGCAGGTATTTGCTTATAAAGAACAACTTGAGTTGAGGTAGTATGAGAAGCTTTACACTTATATACAACAATGTGTTGAATTTAGATGAAACTCAACCTTAAAGTTAAAAGCCAGATCAAGCTAGATTGTTGCCTATGTACAAGGACTAAAATCCACTACCGCCAAATGCTGCCCCAAGTAGTTCTAGAAACCAAGCCTTACTTAATATGAATTACATCCTCTCACAAAAATTACTGCGCTTCCAACAAGCACAGTCATTAAACTATATTGAAAACCCCTTCATCCTCTCAAATCCTATGACTTCTAAGCTCTCATAAAGTTAAAGGACAATAAAACTTTATTCTAAATCCTCACCTGTTGCGCATAATTCTGATCATTTTCATTTTGTGGCCATAATAAGTTAGGTGACATCACTATGGCAATGTTCTGCGTTGACATTTTATTGTGCTGATTTTTCTCGCTCAAATACGACAGAAATTTCATTAAATATTTAAGATTGTTGTAATTGCCTTCCGGCAACTTATTGATTATGTTTAAAATTGCCGCTTTACGTTGTGAATCGTTGACAATCTGAGAGACTTCCATAAATTCGTTATAACAATTATAAGTGAGCAATGGTTCGGGAAGACTTCTTAGGTATGATTTTAATACGGATGCGATTACATGAACATCCTGATACTCTGGCCCGATTGGTGGACAAACAAAATTTGCATCGATTGCACTTCGCATTCTCATCAATTTGCTTTTTCCTGATTAGAAGTCGAAAAAAGTATGTCATAAGATTTCTTATTAAAAGTTGCTAGTTTAAACGCTTTCTTACCACATCCGACACGAAGTAATCCTTCCTCGTACAATCCTTTCTCAAGGAGACAGCAAACACAAAGCTCAATTACATAAGAAATCTTCCTTCCGGTCGTTTCAAGATGGTCTTGCAATGATGTATTAAATATTCTCTTATTGCTACTTCCTGCTCGTACAGAATGGATAGAAGAAATGTTATTATTAAGTCAGAGGAAATTAAATAATCTAGAATGTCATTTGCTCATATAATAAAAAGTTTCTCATATATCTGTGACAGTTTTGATTTTGTTGAACTGTAAAAGTAATGAAATTGTGCTTGAGGTTGTGGAAATAAATTTAATGGACTTGTTTTTCTTTTAATGGTAGATTGGCGTTAACTTGTTTGATGAAGAGGAAAGGAATGGGATTCAAGGATTCAAAGGAAGTTGAGAAGAACGGATGCTGACTTGGATGGTAGTAAGAACAATCATATTAGAGTCCTAGGAGGATGCTAGGGTGATCTAAATATGAATTCTGAGTGTTCAGCATCAACAAAATAATTTAGACATCCTTACCTCATCTCATAAATTCATGAATCAATTCAATTGAAATTTATACTCAAAATTCAATAACAAATTTCAATATAATTCTCTCATTCCATTTAAGGTAATATAAATCTCAATTATTCCTATTGACACTATTCAATAGCATCAACATCATTGAAAATCTTACAATCAATATAGTTTTCTGAATTAATCATCAGCATAACAAAATTTACGACAGGTAATTCGATAATCTTTGATCTAATTTAGACGATTCAGCATTAACAAAACTCTATCGAGTAATTACAATTAAATTAATATTGATTGTTATTAACACCTTCTAATTAGTGCAAGAAATTGAAATATTAATGAGAAATTGAATAGAAAATTAACTTAATTAAATTTTCACCAGCTTGCAAAAATTTAAAAACTTAATTATTAATGCAACAATTTTCAAAGTAAATTAGCAACAACTGAAGTGAGATTTAATGGATGTAAACAAATGCACTTGATGCTATCTGCATGATTTCAGTCACTTCTCACGAATATCATTCCTCGCTTGTCATTTAAATTTAATTAAAATCACTTATGACTCATAATTGCCCTTATTAATGTTGCCAATTGAAATTAATTTGCTGAAGTGCACTTCATTTATTTATCTTTACTGATACACAGCAGCACAAGAGTTCATGATTATGATGATGATGATGGTTGAAGAATCTGTGCTAATATTTGTGCAATCAGAAGAGTCATTCAAAGAGGAGTCACGTGCGAATCATACTAGGATGTTTATTGAAACAAGATGTGAGTCAGGTTGGATGAGTAAACGCGCATTTTAAAATTGTGTATTAAAGAATTAGAAAGTCGGATTGTATCATTTTTGTGGACTAATTGAATGATGATGTCGTAATTTTTATTTGCGGATGATTTGTCATGTCAAGAAGTTGAACAAAAATCACATAATCTAGAAACTTAATTTTTTTGAAGCAGGATTCAAGACCCACTCTACGATTGGCATTACAATATATCTGAGGTTAATTTCTATGGCTACCCGAGGGGAGCATCTGATATCGTATTCCAGAAATGATTGAACCTGATATGCAAACCAGCTCTTGGACTACTTCTTATTTGTAATAAAAAGAGATAATGCCTATCATATTCACACAAAATTTTCAATTTTTGTGAATATTCTTGTTTCTGAAAATCTCTAGAGGGGGGGTGGGGGGGGGGTCAACATAAAATTCCAAATTTCAATGCCTACTCATTCATTTCATCTTCTACAACTACTACAAATTTTTTGATTCGGCTCCAAAAAAATCCCTCTTAACCTTGAAAATCCCAATTAAAATTTTTCTAGACCTTCAAACAACTCGTTACACATTTCTCAGCACTTCCATCACAGGAGAAAAATATATTTGAGCTCAATGTTGTCTATTTTCTAACACAAAATAGTTTTCATTACTTACTTATTAATCCATTCATGTCGCTCATCAATGTTTCAATTTCCTTAAGTGCTGACTTGTAACACAGTTGCTGATCTATAAATCACGAGTAAAGCAGATACAAAAAAAATATCAATTATTTTTTAATTAGACCGTCCGTTCTCTTCCACCTCCTGTTTCATAACTTCTTATTAATTAAACTTACATTTTACGTAATTGAGAATGTAATTAGAGATGTTATCTTCTTCAGCCAACAGGTCAAACATATTTGATGCATAAATGTCACGTTCTTTTTCTAATCGCGTCTCACACTCTTCTTGATCGTCTTTTAATTGATTTATTTTTGTCTGATTCTCGTTTAAGCGAATTGCGCTCTGGAATGTCCATAATAAGAAGGAAAAGAGAAAACAATAAAGATTAATTGATTTATTTGATTTAATTTTTCCGATGATTTTTCTATTAAAAGAGAATTGGATTCTTTTTTCGATGAGTAAGACATTGTTGATTGGTGAAGAGATGTGGGAGTGAAGTCGTTGACCTTGGTTTAGGTCAAGATTAATTTTTTTCAAGCTGGATAGTTATCTGATTAATTTTATGGAAGGTCTAGTCTGTTTTGGATGTTTTAGCCATGCAATTGGGTTAAAAATCTGTGCTCTATTAAGCTAGGCTCCAATTATGGCTCAGCTTTTAGAATTTAATTCTTCCTAATACAAATTTGAATTTTAAAGGGGTCTGAATCCAATTAAAAATGTCATTAAACAATAAAAGAGCAGAACATTCAATTATATTCCCAATTTTACTAAACATTCCATTCATCCAGCATCAACTTCCATTGCAACAGACACAGAATAAAATAAATATCACCTAATTAAATTGTATTCTCTTTTTCAATTTAAATTCATCCGTTTACATGACTTCCAATTAATTTGTGACACAACCAAACAAACCTGACACTTCTCATTAATGCATTTATGCACATCGAAGCTTTGTAACCGAACGAGGATTTTATCATTAAATTTCAACTCTAAAGGAACACCCAAAAAAGTTAATTGAATTGTGGTTAACATTTTATGGCCAGAAGTATTGACAATGTATTTTTGTGTGCAAATTGAACAGCTCGTCAATGTTATTACAGCGAATTACATGTTTCGCGAGTAAATTTGTGAGATCAAAGGGGCTCAACATAATTAATTTCATTGTTTGTTTTCATCATGTTCATTTGCAATCAATTTTTTAATTGAGCAGATATATATTTATTGTGTGTGATATCGTTAAATGTTGATTGATATGAGTGTATTGGTGGACGAGATAAAATATTATTGCAATTATTTTGAGTTAATTTGTGATGCGTTTATTGAAGTTTTGGCAATTTTGTAATTTTTTTCATGTAGCCTTCAGTGCAGCAGATATATTAAAATTTAATTATAATTTTAAAGGCTTCCATCAATTTTTAGCCAATAACATCCAATTATCAACAATGTTGACTCATAAAGCTCATCATCAATAACTCTCTAATAACCTCAAACACACAAATCATTGAAAATTGCGAATTTAAAGATTGCAAATCAACAGCATTGTATGTGGGAACGAAAAAAAGGCATTTTTCATTATTTTCATTTGGAATATTTTAATTCTATAGCCAGATGATGGTGATGTCATAGTTTGATTTCTATTTATTAATAGAAATTAATTAAGTTTCAATACAACAGTAAATTAATTTATTACAGAAATTTTCGGCCAAATGTTTCAATTTGTTTGTTGATTTTTCGTTGCAAGGGTTGGAAACTGTCATCAAAATAATTAAACAAATCAAGCAGTGTTGCAAATTTAGATAAGCTAAGAAACTTTCTTCATAAAGATCGATTCTACATGAAGATAGATTATCTAATCTACACAAAGATTATTTCTACATAAAGATTCTGTCTAAATAAAGATTCGATGTAGATGTCTACAATTCTACATTTTTTCTAGGTCTACATCAGAGAAGAATGTAGAATTGTAGACATCTACATCGAATCTTTATGTAGACAGAGTCTTTATGTAGAAATAATCTTTGTGTAGATTAGATAATCTATCTTCATGTAGAATCGATCTTTATGAAAAAATTTCTGTCTTAGAATTTATCTGATCCAGAAAAATAGCCAGAATGCAACACTGAAATCATGAAAATAAGTATTTTGACTAGACTAGTAATTGGATTTGATGTACTGATAAGAACGCTAGAGTCCTTAATATCCCGAGCTTGCAGAAGTTCTCGAATGATAGAGCTGTCTTTAGACGATCTCTGAACGAGGCAATTGGCCCACGTGCGCCCCAACCAAGGAAGTGAGAAAGACTACAAATTAGTTTAAGTTCTGAAAGCTGCATCAATATGTTGAGCTCCATGCATGATTTCCATCAAAAGAGAGGTTCAAATCTCGCAAAAAACTAAAGCTCTAATTTAAACAGCAGTTTAGAAAACTACCAATAGCCTTAGAAACCACAAAAACTATCAGCTAGGATCTCTAAGTTCAATTATCATCACAGCTTTTAAAGTGTCCATTCCGTTCACTCTTTAGAGCAAGAAAGGAAGTCAACAATTAGATAAATGTAGCTTTCTGTAGAAACATTAGGTCACCAAACAAAAAAAATGTTTAATAGCATTGCTGAATCGCTGTCACTTTCCCAAAAAACAATATCAATTATTTCGCAAATTTTTTGTTTTTTGTCTCTCTAAATTTTTACTTCATCATTCACATTCACAACAATGATCTCATTTGACTTAAGTCAGCAGTGCACTATGGGCCAGAAATGGAAAATTTTTCCAAAAATTATTTCTACAGCTTATATGATAGTCCTTATTCTGTCCTACATTTACGTCCTTAAAACTTTGCCTAAGTCGACAGCATGTCCGAGATATGGCACTTCAAAGTTGGTCAGACGACCATTTTCACGTTACATTGAAAATGCTCTCACCAGTCACTGGATGGATGAATCTCCTTCAATTTTTTTTTGGTAATAGCTTTAAATAGTTCCTTCATTTTAAGGTATAAACAATTGCAAAAAACTTTGGAAAATTTTGTGAAAAACTTGATTTTTCTCAAAAACCACGTGTTCGTCATACTTCCGTTTGTGTAGGTCTTCACAAGCACAACCAAAGTTACTAATTTCTTTTTTATATTAAAGATTACATCAAAAGCTATAACTTTTGCATACATGTCGTATAATTTTAACAAAGTTTTGGTAGTGAAAAAAATTTTTTTTATAAAAAAAACACCAATTTTTTGACAAAAATCGCTGTAGTGCTCCAGGGATACCCATGGTAGTGGAATTTTATTTCACATTTAGAAAGCTCTCTGGATATGCTATCAATTAATGCAGTAAAATGAACAAGTGTTCTCTTGGCAAAGAGCACTTTTTTGACTCTGAAAGTCGTATGTCGAGCAAGGTCAAAAAAGAAAAATAATCATAAAAATTTCAGTTTTAAGTAAAATTTAATTTTTTTAAGTTAGATTGATAGATCTTTTTAAAACGCGTCTTTTGAGTATAAATATGTCATAGTTTTGTCAAGTTTCATGATCAGTTTTTTAAAAAAATAGTTTTTTTCAAAAAAAAACTTGAAAAATAAAGTATTTGACTTTAGAATTTCATAAAATGCATTCTTTTTAACATTTTTTTCACTATTTTGTCTAGTTTTGCTCCTCGTTTTTTCCTAAACATAAATCAATAAAAAGAAATAAATAAGAACTTAACATAATTGAAGCCATTTGGAGGTTAAATTGAGTTAAAAATCGTTTAAAATTTTTGTATTTCTTAAATAGTTCTTTACACAAGTATCTAAGATATAAAGTGTTGCATAGTTTTGAAAAGGTATTAAAATTTCCAATATGTTAACATGAAAATTTTAGGAAAATTTTCAAGTAATATAGTCAATTTGGGTAAAAAACGCATTTTATATATGCTAGTTTTTAATGTTTTTCGTTTTTCTCAGCAAAGACTTTATGAAAAACTCTCAAAGTTTGCACACTTATTTGTTATATAAATGTTAATGACTCGTATAAGTTTTGGAATTTTCTATTGAGTTTTTCATGAGTTCTCCAAATCTGAAATTTTCAATATTAAAAATCCTTTTTTCTCAATAATTCCGATTTTTTATTTATAAATAAATATCTTATTTTGTTTCATTTTTCAATATCTTTTCATTGATATGTAACAATCTACGAAAAAAATAAGACCGTCCTGAAGCTCTCCAGATTATCACAGCCAACTCTTTCAAACTCCAGAAGACGTTTATCGACTGGTGAAATGCGATCGCATTTCGTTTGAGGGGGGTGGATGTGGGAGAGAGCGGATAGCTACGCTCTTCTCTCATTCTCTCAACGGTATTATGCATGCATGCATAATGCCATTGAGTAAGTAGTCTTTAAGATACGATTAAGGAATAAAGACACAATAAAGTATAGACCGTAAAGTATATACAAAAGTATACAGTCTTATTCATTATTATAGACTTACAGGATTAGGACGTTATCCTTACAGATATGTAGTCGGTACGTTACTATAGAGAAATCAATAAAAAAAGTGTCAAAAATTTATGAAAATTCTACGCTATTTTAATTTTTTAGCATTTTCTGGTTAATTTTATTAAGTTTTGTAAGAGTGTTATACCTTTTTGCAAATTTATAGCTTAAGACTTTCATCTGCTTTCATCCATTAAAATTCGTATGAGTCAACGATAAGCACAACTGAAGTTAAATAAGCTTCACGTTGGCGCAACCAAAAATTTTGAATTTTTTAAAATCAAATTATTTAAAAGCTTTAAATTAAATCTTCAGGCTGCTATTAAATACATGAAACATTTATAACAAAACTAAATGAAAAAGTTTAATATTATAGCTCAAATAGCATTAAAATTAATATCTGGTTTTCTTCATATGGTCTTATTTTTTTCGTAGATTGTTACATATCAATGAAAAGATATTGAAAAATGAAACAAAATAAGATATTTATTTATAAATAAAAAATCGGAATTATTGAGAAAAAAGGATTTTTAATATTGAAAATTTCAGATTTGGAGAACTCATGAAAAACTCAATAGAAAATTCCAAAACTTATACGAGTCATTAACATTTATATAACAAATAAGTGTGCAAACTTTGAGAGTTTTTCATAAAGTCTTTGCTGAGAAAAACGAAAAACATTAAAAACTAGCATATATAAAATGCGTTTTTTACCCAAATTGACTATATTACTTGAAAAATTTCCTAAAATTTTCATGTTAACATATTGGAAATTTTAATACCTTTTCAAAACTATGCAACACTTTATATCTTAGATACTTGTGTAAAGAACTATTTAAGAAATACAAAAATTTTAAACGATTTTTAACTCAATTTAACCTCCAAATGGCTTCAATTATGTTAAGTTCTTATTGATTTATGTTTAGGAAAAAACGAGGAGCAAAACTAGACAAAATAGTGAAAAAAATGTTAAAAAGAATGCATTTTATGAAATTCTAAAGTCAAATACTTTATTTTTCAAGTTTTTTTTTGAAAAAAACTATTTTTTTAAAAAACTGATCATGAAACTTGACAAAACTATGACATATTTATACTCAAAAGACGCGTTTTAAAAAGATCTATCAATCTAACTTAAAAAAATTAAATTTTACTTAAAACTGAAATTTTTATGATTATTTTTCTTTTTTGACCTTGCTCGACATACGACTTTCAGAGTCAAAAAAGTGCTCTTTGCCAAGAGAACACTTGTTCATTTTACTGCATTAATTGATAGCATATCCAGAGAGCTTTCTAAATGTGAAATAAAATTCCACTACCATGGGTATCCCTGGAGCACTACAGCGATTTTTGTCAAAAAATTGGTGTTTTTTTTATAAAAAAAATTTTTTTCACTACCAAAACTTTGTTAAAATTATACGACATGTATGCAAAAGTTATAGCTTTTGATGTAATCTTTAATATAAAAAAGAAATTAGTAACTTTGGTTGTGCTTGTGAAGACCTACACAAACGGAAGTATGACGAACACGTGGTTTTTGAGAAAAATCAAGTTTTTCACAAAATTTTCCAAAGTTTTTTGCAATTGTTTATACCTTAAAATGAAGGAACTATTTAAAGCTATTACCAAAAAAAAATTGAAGGAGATTCATCCATCCAGTGACTGGTGAGAGCATTTTCAATGTAACGTGAAAATGGTCGTCTGACCAACTTTGAAGTGCCATATCTCGGACACGCTGTCGACTTGGGCAAAGTTTTAAGAACGTAAATGTAGGGCAGAATAAGGACTATCATATAAGCTGTAGAAATAATTTTTGGAAAAATTTTCCATTTCTGGCCCATAGTGCAGTGATGGACGAATGGAAAGTATGTAATTAGTAAAATATTGTGTGCGACAATTCTCACCTGATATTTCTGTTTTGCAGTCTCGTTGTCTTGATGGCACTTCGCTACAATGCGCTTCTGCTTCTGTACAATCTGAATTTGATGCTCTATTATACCATTCAGCTTCTTATTCACATCATTTTCAATATTCACTTCGTTATTTACGATCTCTGACGCAATTGTCTTCTCGAGTCTTGCTGTTTAGTTTGTACGTAAAAAATTCATTCAACCGGATTAATTTGTTCATCACAATTTTCAATTGTTTTTTATGTGATTTTGTGGCACACGATGATTTTTTTATGCGAATTTGTCAGGCATTTAGATTAACGATTTGTAGAATGGATATTTATCATGCAAGAAAAGAAAAGAAATATTTTGAGAAGATTTAGATTTATGAATTTTGGAGAGAATATTTTTTTAAGGTTTGTGAGATGCTAGAATATTTTAGCGCAGTTTTATAGTTTTGTGTCGAAGATAACGAATATGACGAATTTTATTTTATTTTTTACTATTTTTGTGAGGAGGAAGTTTGACGCTATGTTTCACCGCAATCTATTATTTGCTTCCTCATTTTTTTGATAAGAATTATATGAATGGCAATTTTAGTGAATGTTTCTAGGGAATTTCTAGATTGACTAACATCAAAAGTCATCAATTGTGAATGTCATTGTGAATTTTGTGCTAAATCCTTAAATCAACTCGATTTCTATTTAAAAATCATGGAGCATTTGAGCTTAATCGACATTTAATAACCTTTAATACCCGAATTAGCCTTAGTTGATCATTTCTCGGTTGCTTGAATCTTCAGCAGTCCCCAAAAACTAGTGATCAAACTTACAGTTCCTTTAAACCAACTTCTCTTTAAAACAAGTTTCATTTACAAAGAATTTCATTTCATTCAAAGAACAAAAACTGAGTTGAGAAAGAAAAAGTAAACAATGAATGAGCTATTAAGGTATAAGAACACATTGAGTATCATGAAGGTGTTGGAAAAATCATTTGCCTTTAAATTTATTTATACAGACACTGAAGTAAACTCGATGATTATGCTCATTATGCTCAAAAGACACGCACAACTAGAAATTGATGCTCGTGTTCTTGCGAAAATAATCTTTTTTTTTTGTTGCTGTCTAATTGTTTAAAGATGAAGATGAAGAAGAGAATAATAAAATTGATGGGAAAGTTTGTGTCTTCTTAATGTCTTGTGAGATTAAGATTATTAGATTGTGTGTACTTTAAGAGGCTTACAAAAAAGGTCATAAGAAGATCAAGAAAAGTAATTGGCAATTTCCATCGACCTTACAATCATTGCCTCAATTTTAACTTCGTGTTTTTGTGGTCATGTAAATAACCAATTTTGGTTTTGTGGCCTTTTCTTCCTACTTTGCATGCCGCATGCATAAAATAAATTATTCAGCATCTCAAGTCGTGTGAAATTTAAGTAATGGCCCGTAAGTCATGACAAACTAACCACAATCCTCTAAAATTTTCTTCAATATTCCATCCGGTAAATCTTTCGATGAGTCGTCCATCGCTTGTGCTAGGAGAAACTCATGTGTTTTCTTCATTCGCTTCTCTTTCGCCGCTTGATCTTGTCCGGATGGTGCATTTGTAGATATTTTCTTTGTGATTGTCTGTAATACATCTTTATATTTATCCACTTGCTTCTCGATGTGCTGTAACTCGTCGTTTCTCTCTGGTTTTGTTGTTCTGGAATGGAATGAATGTGAAAAAAATGTTAAATTAATATTTTTATCATTCCTTAATTTTTTGACGATTTGTTCCTGATTATTGCATAAGTTTAAAGGTTGAAATTTATTTTTGTCGCGTATCCTTGTTTTTCTTTATCCTACACGCTATTGAAATAATCAGCCCCCTCCCTCAAAAAAATTCTGGATTCACCCCATGCAACACACTCTCAAACCAGAAACTTCCTCAATACTTAATTAGAATTTCAAGTGCACATGACTTAAAGATACAAAGCATTTGCAAAGGCGACGCTTTGGCGAATTTAAAGTACTTTATGGATCCAACTAGTGCCAATTCAGCTCATTCGAATTGCTGATAATGTTAATTGGTTTTTTGAACGAGTGCAAAATAGATTAATAATTTTTATGGAATTAGCTTGCTGTATTGTGAGTTGTAGGATGAATAAATCAATGGAGGGATTTTGTGAATAATTTTATTTAATTAAATATGACAGAATTGGATTAGTTGCAGATTATTTTGAATTTTATTCCTCATTCTACATTCAATTTAAGTTGTAAGTATGCATTGTGAGTGTTTTAAATTATCAGAACTACTTTATCTTTCCTCAAACTTGCAGCTACCCTCCTCGACTTTAGCTAGATTCGACACCTACTCTTAAATTGAAAATGAACAGCTTAACTTTGAGGTTTTAGTAAAGTTTTTTTATGATTAAGATAAAGTACCTCCGGTAGCTTCAGACATCATCATCATTACCAGACCCAATATCAATAACCTTCAAATGAATGATCAACGTCATAGTCACAAAAAACCTAATTAGGTGGTCATCTCACTCAAAAACAACCAAAACGATCAAAGGCCAACTCAACATTAAGCACATAACATCACTTAAAACAAAAATACACAAAAATAAAATTAGTAATCAAAAATTACTTAAAATATATTGTTTTTTACGTTCGCAATTCTTTGAAATCTGCCAAGACCAGAAAATTGAGTATAAAATTGCTATTATGTAAAATGTTTAATTATACAGATCTGAGAAAAATATTATGGATCAATTAGCATATCCATGGGAAAAAAGAGTTCTATTACAAAAATTCGATCAAAAAGCCAAACTGTATGACGATGTGGATTAAAGTTCAAGTAAAATGAATCTTTTAATTGCTTATTGGCAGTCGTGCATGAATAAAAAAATCCATCCAAGTTATTACATTAAAAATATTTTTTGTGTACTTTTGAGAATAAATAAGAAAAAGTGATGATTTTTTATTGAATTAAATCATAATCTGGGTTTTTGAATATGCATGAGTCATCCTCACTGACAATGTATTGCTCATGGAGATGTTATCACTTATTTATTTACATTTCTTATTCATCAAAAAGTGAATAAACTTGAACTTAAACTGCAAACCGCAATGTCGAAAAGGGTAAAATTTCAATAAGCCATAACATTGACTTTATACGAATTAATATTACTTTGTATTAGTATCATGTTACAGCTTAATCGTCATGCTCAAACTAGAAAATGACAGCATTAAGTGTGATGAGATCATATTTATGGAGAGAAAAAAATTTAATAGAGTGCTAGTTTATGATAGAATGATTAAGTTAATAGCTTAGCATTTTATATTTTTATGCTTATTACACTTTTGATTGGCAATAAAACTTGTAGATGCACCCATATGAGTTTAAATGTTCATTGAATGAATTTAGAGATTAGAATGCAAAAAGCGAAGTTTTTGGAGCTGTTTTGAAACTAAGTTTATTTAATTTGATAAGCCAGACACGCCTTAAATGAGTATTCATTAAAGTCTGGCAAACTTGTAAATGTTTATTATGAATATCACTCAAAATCAATACTTGGTTGCCTTTGAAAGCTGCTTCTTTGATAACACTAATGTCAATACGAAAAAAAGAAGGGAATGAGCTCTGATTGAAGCGCCTCAAATACAAACTATTAAGCTCCTGTGCCACCCACATAAGTCAACTTAAAACAACTCTATTTTTAAAACTTCAAGGACACTCATGTCTGCCTCAAGTCTAGTCACTTTACTTAAATTATCATTGTCAATTACTATCACAAAACTACACCAACATATTTCTACTCTTTTTTACTGATTAAAAAACACATTCATGTCGACAAAAACCCGACAACACTTTATTCCACGAATCTTATCATTTACTGCCAACTTTACAATCCATAAATGACGACTTTGCTGCATACAAAAGCAATAACAAACTCACAATTCTATCAAAAAGTTTCTAAATGGTGCAAAGCTTAGTCTCATTGGAGACAATTTATGCTGTTTTTCTTTACATCCAAAAGGAGGTGACGCGTTTCGATTAGAAGTAACACAATTAAACTTATCCATTCAGAATGACTGACTTATTGCGCAAAAAAATTATATTATGAGAATGCTAAAGTTAAAATTTAATGGGGATGATAGCTTTATGGCAGTGCTGAATGAATTTTCTGTAAATTATTGACTAACTTAATGATAAAAATTCCTATATACAATTGTGACAAAAATTGACCACAAAATAATGATTCAAGATAATATTACAGATAAGTAGACAGTCATCCGAACTAAGTGTAGACATCACCATCATTTCCTTTATGTGCTGTATACAAAAAAAAATATTTCAAACGATTACAAGCAATCATCACATATTTATAGCGGCTCATACAAACAATAGAGCTTTACATGTAAGAATCTTTATGGATGACTGTACAATACGTCATTAATCAATGTTATTAGCATAGTGTTAATGTATATAAAAAAATAGCTTCTGAAGGTCATAATCATAAATATTTAAATATTTATGTAGATTCGATGGATCTATATCCGAATAGCACAAATCGGTTAATCGAATAGAAATCTGGCTCCAAGCCTGGCTTTAATTTAAATCCAGTACCATGCTAGAGTCATCCTAGGTTGGTGCCTGATTTCTAATCGATTAACCGACTTGTGTCATTCGGGTATAGATCCATCGAATGTACATAAAGTTGTAATCGATACATAATGGAATGTTGTATGAGATACACAATATTAGCGTAAAATTGATTTATTCGACATGCATTTACCGAATATTTTGCATAAATCATGTCGAATTAAGATCTAAACAAGATTGTCTGGCAACGCATATGTGACGTAATTTTTTGAAGATGTTGTTAACTCGCAAAGACAATAAGGAGCCATATAAACACTTTGTCGTTTGTAACATATTAATTCGTAATTTAAAAGCAAATTTTTCAAGAGGCATATTCATGTAATTAGTGTGGCACCGGCGAAACCCAAATTCAGAGTTAAGCATGCATGAAGCCGGCCTTATGCTAGATTTATCGCTTTCTAAGTCTATTGTGTCTTACGAAATAGGCATTTTTCATACTAAAGACTTTGATACTCTGAACTAAAATAAGCAGTTGTCTGTATGACCTTGTAACTATGCCTGACCTAAGATTGAACTCAAGAACTGTAAGAAGAATGGTTAACCACTTAAAAGAAGAAGGTTCAAATCCATTTTCACTATTTCTAAGATTTCTGGATGAAAGACGCTTTCCTTAAGGCTCACACAGCCATTCATAAGTGAGCAGCTGTATTTGCTTCCCCAACCTTCTGTTTTCTTCTTATTTACACTAAATTCCCTTGTTGATCTTCACGCCGCTATGCTAATTCTAACAATACTACTATTTTTTTATCATCAGCACATAATTTAAATATCCAAATCCAAATATGTAGATTAGCTGAAAAGCACACCATAAAATTGTAATCGACATGAACAATAAGCTATATTCAGCAGTCAGTGAAAATATCCGCGAAAATTGATTTATTTGGCTCGGATTAGCCGCATAAATCATGTCAGAATTAAATTCCACAGCAGCGCTCATATGACGTAATTATCAATTGGACAGTAATTATTGAAATGGAAAGAAAAAAAAGTATTAAAAGTGACGAAAAAATAATAATAATATAAGCACTTACACAACAAAAAGAATTTAATCATCACATTTATTTTTACATTTTGCATGTCTCATCGTTTAAAGTCTGGCAGATTATATTATATTTTTTTGCTGTACTGTATGTATGCTTTTTAGCACTGTTTTTTTCGAGATGTAAATAGGTTAATGAGGCCATTTTTACTGGCATATAACTGAATGTGTGAATTTCTTATTGATCTTGTTGGTTGATTGACTAAGCGAGAAATCAGTTGACAGAGATTGTGGATAGGATTGTAGAAGCTTATTCTTATCAACTTGATTATTTGTTTTTCAGACATTTATTTTTCAATTATCACATTGCATTGAGACTTAGTTGGAATGGTTTATTCATTATTAAGTTGATTCTTTGATTACTCAATTATGTCTTTTTTGTTGGAACTGACAATATTGTGTTTTTGAAGTTGGCTCTAATGTTCAAATTTCTGAAACCTAATTGAAAACCTTGACATTCTCTAAAGATGGATTGTTATTGGATTTAAGCTAAGTTGCTGATTGAGAATAAATGGCAAATTTACAATTAATGATCAAGTTTGGTATTGGAAATGATGATCTAGTATTAAATCACATGCATCAATGGGTTCGAATCTTAGTCAGTCAACTGTAAGAAACTAAGTTCATAGTTTAAAATACTTTGATTGTGACTAAAACAGCTTAGTCTTTTATGAACACAATTTGGTTTGGACTTAGTAGCATGGACCATTGCTGATCTAGATTTCCACAAACATTATTAATCTTTTAAATTCCAAATCATCCTAGATATAAATTCTAAGGGTATCTGCTATCAAGATCGAGAATTCTGAAGAAGTCTCATTCTAGGCATCAGTTCCGAACTCGATCTTGGTTTCGTATTCATTCTCAACCACAAAAATCAGTCGAGACCAAGACTTTGTAACTCATTGAATTCTCCCTAGAATCTTATGTGAATCTAATTAAGTATTTATCATACAATCTTGATATACCCAAATAAGAACAACCATAAATGCGTCCAATCCACTCATCCTCATTATTTCTCATGCATAACTTCTACATTTCATGCATTATTCTTTTACTCTTTTTTTGTTTTCGTTCATTCTTCCCCCTTATTCTTTCGTGCCTGTTGTTACTTCCACAGATAATAACACGAGTCGTCTTTAAGTGAATGAATGAAGTGAAAACCGAGAATCAGTTCTTAAGAATTAACAAGAAATGAAAATAATATTAAAATGTAATAAGCAACAAGAATAACAGAAAATTATGTGCGATATGGATGTCCAAAAAAAATCTAGTTTACGACAACGCCCTCACTCGTTATGGATATAAATCAACATGAAATCATATGATCAGTATAAGGATATTTAGCAAGGATACGTGACATTTGCAAAGGAATTTTCGAAAATTCGAATTTAATATAAATTCCTTTGGAAGTTCGAATTGTCCTAGGGAGGAATGGAATAAGAAAAAAAAATGAAAACAAAAAAGATTTCGCCATACAAACCTTTGCGAGAAGTTCTCTGCCGCAATTTTTATCTTATGGAGTTGTTTCTTCATTCTTTTATATTATTAATTTACACTTTTTACAAAAATCACACACAGACACAAACAATAACAACAGGGGCGATAATCTTCGCGGAATTACTTTGTTATTTTTTTTTTTTTATTCTTTTTATCAAACAAAAAAGCAACAAACTTCTTTCTAGAGCACTTTCAATTTCATTTTGAATTAGCTTATTTCCCTTATTTCTCCTCGAGTGTCTCACTTTTTTTTCTCTTTACGATTTGATTGTGGTAATTGATAAAAATTAGCCCCTGATAAGGCTTTGACAAATGTGTGTATGACTTCGATTGATAAAAAATACACTGACTTTATTTCGTTCCTTTTTTTACACTGTATGCAGCACTGAGAAACCACTTCAAAAGCTACTAATGAATCATCTGAATCTTCTTTTTTTTCCTTTTTACTACGATCGTCTATGGATTGACATTGGCATACATCTTTTTCATGACTTTTTCGTATCCATTATTGATTAAACTTCACGAATTTTACAGCACTGATTGAATAAGGATATTAATAAAATAGCTAATCAACTAATTAAATGCTTTAAAATGGAAAAAATTGATAAAAAAAGATTTTTTTTAGAGTCACAGTCAATGTAAGTTGATTTTTGCAGTATAATGGAAAAATTCGTCAGCTATGTCACATCGGGTGGGGGTGGGATGATTTTATAAAAATTATCTCAAATTTTTCTATTCGACATTCTAGCTTATTTTGGAACAAATACTAAAAATTTGACTCATTTTAATTTTGATAAAATTAACCCAATTTTAGGTGTGTCAGAACTTTCACTCGCCCCACTGGAAAGAAGCAGAAATTTGTGTCTCGGCTAGAAAAAACAAAGATTCTCGTATTCTTCAATAATCAGCTAACCTTACTACAAATCTCATATAAACTTACAACTATATTCCAAAACACAAACACACAATTTCAAACATCACGTGCGACAATAGTCAACGGCTTTCAAAATACTTCGACCATGAAATTGAGAATGTCCTTCAGTTACAAACATTTCAAGCATTTACGCAACACTTTTATTTCTCAAAGCCAACCGAAAAATAATTTATACATCAGATTTGTCATACAGTATGCGATGATGATAAGAATAATAAAAGCGATGATAAAGAAGCACCAAAGGTTGCAAACACGTTGCATAGAATGTATAAAGCCCATATGATTTATAACAATTTGATAACGTTGAGCATCGCTGTAGCCCATATATTTCAATATATTTGCAATAAAAACGGCTTGACTATTCGTAAGATTGTGTTGAGCAACCATCAATTGAATTAATGCTTTTTCTGAATAATCGGCTATGAGTGCTTTCGGATTCATGATTTTATTTCCAGACATCTATAGAGTTTGTTTTTGAAATGCAGGCAAGCTACTCTTTGTTGTCGACGAAGAATTTTGAATGCTGTTATTTTTGGATGAAAATTTTGATGGGATTAATAAATATTTGACATTTGAGGTTATGTTATTTTCGATGAAATTTTAATTAATTTGTGTGACGTCATGGTGAAGCTAATATTAAGCGTAGACAGCATGACCTTTAAAAAATGATTGTTTTTCGCTTGGATTTACTTGAGTTTTTTTTGTAATTTTAAGCACAATTTACTAAAATCGAGTCATTGTACCTTATTTGGATGTTATATTGATGTCATTAAGGTATAGTTGAAAGTTCAATTCTTATACAAACCCATTCTTCGCTTAAACATCTCCTTAAAAAATCAAATTCATAAGTCTTGTTCCCAAAACCAATCTTAAAATTTATCAACTGAGTCTTAATCATTAACGAAGCACTTTCCATTAAATTTCCGTACACATAACATTATATTTAATAGTTAATACATTGTTGTTGACATCTTCATTGTTATTTAAAGTAATCAGCATATAACTATAATCAAAAAGTCATAAACAGCAATTTCCTTAATTTTCTTACATTACGCGCTACACAAAAACCGCATTTTTCATTTACATCTTAAGTGCCAGTAATATTGACAGCCTATCATGTCGCGATGGCGACTTCTAACTGCAAAAAAAGAAATATCAATGAACCTCCAACATAATTTCGAGAGCTGTGGCTATGCTGGAATTATGTGCACATGATTTTTTTTATGTATTCGCTATTTTTATGGCGAGTGGTGAGAAAAATATTCTGAGTATGAACAGCATGAGTCCTACTGGTTACTGTATGTATTAACAATATAAAAGGGACTCGAGGATGCAGATTGATCTCAGTCGATTGATAAGCATTGATTTGGATTGTTTGAAAATAAGTGACTGTAAGGAAAAATTTATCAAAAAAGGTGTGAATTTTTTTCAGTAGTTTTTTTTTTTTGGATGTCCGGATTAAGATTGTGAGACAGTGAATTTTAATTATAAATTAAATCTAATGGATATAACGTTAAGCATCAATGATTAAAAATAAAACAAAGTGCATAATGCCAATAACTGCATTTCTAATCATAAGTTATGGCAAAAGCTGCATCCCGCACATATCATATCAAGTTTCAGCTATTTTAAGATAAACTAGACAAAAGGATTTTCTACAAGATGCACGGGTTATGAAACGTTGAGATAAAAACAAGATGAGACTTACATCGTGATCATTTCTACACGTGAAGTGCAGTAAAACCGTGAAGATGCATGCTTGCAATGCATTCATGATGGATAAAAATGCAAGAAAATCAATTGAATAGTTTTATCAATGAATTGATAAAAATAATCAATTCTACATATGCAGATGTGATTGTTGTTCTGTGTCATTCAGTTACTAAGCCTATGATTGACCGTGATTTAGATTTTGGCGTTGTCTTTTTAAACAAAATTCCATTTTTGCTAATTTAGTTCTTATCATAAATGAACAATCTCTTAAAGGATTATTCACATCCGATTGAATCATTGATCAATCCTTAGAACTTCCTAGAAATCGAAACTTCTCGATGCAAATCTTAAACTCCTTCATTATTTCATAAAGACAATAAGGATGTGACATTTATATGACGATGCTTTTATCCAATAAATTGAATAATGTTTCTAAAACTATAAATATTCATTCCTTAGTCCTTAATTCAATTTCATAAGTTTGATAACTCTACACTTATAAGCTTCATTAAGTAAACAATTAATAACAAGGATATGTAATTTTCTCACGTCAGTTGCATGACTATCTTAAATTCTAAGTAAAATTATGCAAATCCTGCAGTAATATTACAAATGTATTACATGATACATCATTAGCTACTCCGAATGGCATACTTACCTGCTTTACTTCCTTGGCTTAGGCGCACGTGGGCCCATTGCCGCGTTCAGATTTCGTCTAAAGACAGCTCTATCTTTCGAGACGTTTTGTCAGTTCGGGATATTAAGGACTCTAGCGTCCTTATCAACACATCCTGCCATGACTCCGAATGGCATAAGTCAGTTAATCGATCAAAAATCCATCCCCAAATGGTGCTGGATTTAAACCGAAGCTAGCACCATGCCAGAGTCACGCTAGCTGGGTTCCAGATTCTCAATCAATCAAGCCTTAAAATCGATTCTAGAGAATTTAAAATTTCATTGATAAAAAAAGAATAAATTTCCACATTTTACAGCACGTTAGTTTCATTAATCCAGAAACACACATTTTCTCTCAAGTTCATGTTCATAATGTGATCCGCAAAGTATTGGTATAATAAAGTAGTAATCAAATGGACCACCCATTGATGTGTTAAAAGTGTTCTGGTGTTCACATGTTGCTTTCAACTTACATGTGATATTTTATGTTTTGATTATTACAGTTCTTGCTCATGTCTTACTGCAAGTTACATTTTCTAATAGGAATTCCTTGACTTTTACTGCATGTTGGGCTGATGTGAAGATGTTAAAGTTGTAATTTGATGTCTCCGTTTTGGAAATGATCAAATTTTATGTTAATTATGTCCTCAACTTGCATATCTTTAACATGAAATTAAATTTAAACTTTGATTCAAGAATTCCTCATCAAGACTTCCTGCAATTTTCAATAATTTCCTCGTAAATCTGTCCATCAACACAACAGAATCACTTCATCCAATTCAGCATAAAACTGGCTAAAACAATTGAACAAAAGCTTAATTTTAAATCATTTCTATATCCTTCCTTCCTATTGTCTCCAATTATCATATCCACATATTATGAAATGGATGCTGCCTGTTTCTATCCACAAGCTTCCAAACAATTGCTATTTTCTGCATCCTTCATCATATGGGGTATCTTATGACACATTTATAAATAGGAATAGAATAAATTGAAGAAAAAATCTCTTAATTTACTACAAAATGTAATCATCGTCCATCAATTCTATATGATTATATAATTCCAGACTGCACAAATCGTATGACGATCAACGTGCAATTTCTTCTGTCGAATGCAGAAAAGTGCATTGTTATGTAAAGTAATGCATGCCATACAAATCTAATATCAATTTTCTTACCTTTTCTTCTTCTTCTTCTTATTTTTCCTGTATTTTCATAAAATTGAGAGTAAAGTAAATTGAATATAAATTCTATTGACATTATCGGTTTATTCATCATTGTTTATCAACAGCTCACACTATCCGGACATAAAATTTTATTAGAAACATTTTCTTGTTCAAATAATTATTAATTGAATATTTCATCTGTGATTTAAACAAAATTTAGGAAACATATTAATACTATTATAATGGGTAAAATGCAAGCTATTGTCATCTTTGTCGTCATTGCTTTTATCGGATTTATGGAAGTCGTTGACTGTGGAGTTTTGAGTGATAGAGTAAGTATTTTGTGAATAGTGAACATTTTGTGAATTTATTTGGTGAAAGCTCGACAAATTGTTTTTAAAATTTCGAAGACTTAAATGCTTTGTGGATGTAAAGAATATGAAAGTGAAGGAATCTCTGAAATTAAATTTTGAGTTGAAAGAAAAAAAAATCGTAAAATCGTTTAAGAATTGAATATTAATTGAAGAATTCATCTGTAAATTGTTACTTTAGTTCCAAATTAAAAGCTATGATAAGTTGTCAGAATTCTAAATTTAAATACTTTAATTTTATTTCAAGTCAAGCTCTAAAAGAACATCAAGTTATGTCTCTTAAGTTTACATTTTTGAAGAATTATCAAGTCAAGTTATTTATGATTTCGAATGATTTACTTTCAAGAAGATCCAAAATTTGATAATTGGATCGATTTTTAATTCGGAAGATATTAAATTCTCCTTTAAGAATGTTTATTGCAATTTATAAAATTTTAATTTTAATTCTGACAATTGAAGAATATTTCAAAATTTAATTTGACAACATTTCGACCAAGAATAATGTTAATTTATCATCTACAATTTCATTTTTGTCTCCCAGAACCAAAACTTCATCATATTTATAAAACCTCAAAATTAATTCTTGACTAATTTCAATTTTCCATCCATAATCTCTTCAACAGGATCCAAGAAACTTTAACAACCAGTACAACCCAAACCAATTAGACACAAACAAAGCAAAACGTCCATTCTGCAATGCCTTCACCGGATGTGGACGAAAAAGATCCAATGAAGTTGCTCCACCAATTCCAATTCAGTCAACATTCGATGATAGTGACAGAATTTCTGATGTCTTGGAACTTAACTCTGAACCAGCAATTGAAAATCTCGTAAGACAAATTATGAGCGAGGCAAAAATGTTTGAAGCATTCCAGGAGGCAAACCGCGAAATGTATTTACAGAAGCTTAAACATTCAAATCGAGAACCATCCGCATATTCCATGCAATAGGATTATTCAGACTATTAAATTTATTATTAATATTGAGCTAGTCTTATTTCATAAAGTTTAATGTATTTAAATTGAATATCAAGTGCTGTGCATGATGGAATACCAGCCATTTATTGAATTATAATGACAGCTAATCAGTGCACGGTGGAAAGGAGTTAGTGAAAGTTTAAGCGACATCATGTCAGCATCCCGTGAATGACATTGACGTGCGTTTGATTGAAATAATATTGACGCATGTTTTTGTCATCGACAGCATTGATTTATGTGCACTGATAATTTTTTGTATGTTTTGTCCTATAATTCTATAAACCAAAATGATAATGTTCAGCACAGCACTTGACCTAAATCAATGTCCTTATTATGATGTGAAAAAATTGTCAAAATGTAGCACAAAGACAGACACAGCAAGTGACTAATTTTTACGTATTAGAGTATCAATTTTAAGTAACCAAAAAAAAGTTTCCATCTCATGAATTAAATTAAGACGTCTGTTAGACCATCTGAGATTTATTTTAGAGACAATCGACACTTTTGCATCATGATGATGACGTCCTTAAGCTACATAATAAAGCATTGGACCTTAACATCATTGCATGGCTGGTAATAATGCGATGTCTTGAAAAAAATTCTCGGATATAGAATTAAAATTTTGTGTTAACGTTCCTTGAAAGAATCAAGAACATAAAGCCTTTTTCCATGGTTTCTTGATATAAAAATTATATGAGTAAAGAGAGACATATTAAAAATTTAGCAACAAAAGCATCTATTTGAGCTCCATTGTATGATGATGTTATATGTAATTAATAATGAGCAGATATAAAAAAGCAAATTTCAATAAAAAAAATTCAAAAATAAATTCTTTTTGGATCATTTACTTACTTATTTTTTACAGTTCCTTGAATAGCAGTGTCACAGTAAAGTTTGTAGAGGTTATCAAAATGTTTAATGAGGTTTTTCCAAGATTTATCTCAAATATCTCTCTGAAATTAAGGATGTAGCTAAAAGGTGTGTTGACAACCGAAATCAGACAGTAAAAACTTCTCTGACCTTACTAATCTTGAACAACAGGAGCGTAGCCAGGGGGATTCAGGGGACAAATCCCCCTTCGTCTTGAGAAATTTCTTCATTTTGCTAGAGTTTTCATGAAAAACTCGAAAAAATAGCCCCCCCCCCTAAAAGTTTTCCATACAAAAAAAATTTGTCCCCCTCTTCAAATTCCAGGCTACACCCCTGCAGACACCCCTTGTTAATCACCTTGAACAAGGACGCACTTCATTTTCTTAACAGGAGAACCAAGTTTTAGCTTCAACTCCATCTGACAACAATTTCCTCATTCAAAATTAATTGATTTTGCCAGCTACGTTTTCATATTCTCTTCAAATCTATTGACATATGTAACTTATGTCCAGAATTTTCATTGAATTTATAAAGTTCATGAACAAAAAATAGTTTTAAGTAATTGACATTTAAAATCTTTCAATGTCAAAGCTACATAAGCATTAATTACACAAAGACACTTTTGTTGGATAGAAAGTTCGAAGTTCATGGAATATGCAATGACATCAAGATATAAGGAAGACATAAAGTTTCTTTGAGAAAATCACACTTATGCCAACATGCAATTTTCAGTAAAATTTGAAGTTTTGTTACAGAACGAAAGGTTTCGTTCATGAATATGTACGGATTCAATCAAAGTTGAACAGAATTGAAGATGTAATCAGTTGCTCATACCTCAGATTTGCCATATGAAAGCTTGGATCAAACTATTTGACGCAATTGATTCACGTTTGCAGCAGTTCGTAGCTTTGAACTTCATTGACACTATCTTTGGTTTCTCTGCAAGAAAATGGTTAATTAAAATTATACTCATGCCCATGGATCTAATTGAAGCTAGAATAGAAATGAGATGGATCATAGAAAACCAGACTTAGCTCAGCTTAAGATATCTTAAAGCAACAAAAGTATGTACTCACAAAACCATTCAGAACCTTAACAACACCTTTTTTTCAACAACTTTTTCATTTTATTTTGCTATAATTTTTTATTTAAATTACAATAACAAGAATCATAAGAGATTAAATAATTAAAAAGGTTTAAATTCAAAATAAATCTTTATGTCTGTAAATCTTCAATCATCTTCAAAAAGCTCAACAGCATCCATTAGAAAATCATTGCAAAAAATATATAAAGTTTTAAGGAATTAAGTACAGAGCAGTAGCAAAAGCAAATATCTAGACAATCTAAAGACCCGTGTGTACTGCCATATTTATAAGGTAACAAACAGCGCATTAGCAAAATAAAATCTTTTTTAAATAAATATGATAATTTAATGCCATTTTTATGCTTTTCAGTTCCGAAACACACATTGAGGTTCCCAATTCAATTCGTCAATTTTTTAAGGTAGTCTTTCAAGGCAATTTATTGGTTTATATTCATTCTCAATACGCTTCCAAAATAAATTAAAGGATTAATTCGTTATTATTGAGATTTGTTGGAGTTGGTAATCATTCAGTAGGATGTGGGTATTTAAGGGATGTCTTGAAATTCTTCCGACTGACTTCATCCTCTTCCAGTTTTCATTACAAAGTCTTAATAATTTATATTGAAGTCTTTAAACCTTTCCTCCATAAATTCAACGCATTCAAGTTCCTGCCTTAATTACCAACTCCATCTTAGGTCTAATAATTCATAGAACTTAAATTTTACATATATGCGTCTAAAAATATGCTTGCAATAAATATAAATTTAATTTGATGGAATAAATAAGTTCGTTTATGCAAAAAGCCTTGTCTCCTTCTTTTCGTATATTACTCTTTGAAATATTATCGTAGTTCCATTAGGGTTCGTTCACTTATTACGTAACGCACTAGGGGGGGAGGGGGGGTCTAAGATTTTGTTACGGTTTGTTACAGGGGGAGGGGGGGGGGTCTAAATTTTGTTACGTAACTTTTCAAAAAATATATTTTTTTATAATTTTTTCTATATTAATTTTAAATTTTTTTAACGTTAAATTTTAACTTAAGAACTTTTTAGCAGAGATCGAAGCCGATTTTTTCGGCTTAACTCAATTTTTATTATTATTACATGCTTTTTATTGAGTTGCTCTGTCTGTTGGTTTCTTTGTCACGTTCAAAACTTGCAATCGATTTTTCGACCACTTCTGCTGCTCCAATCGAGCTCAAATTTTTTATTCACACGTATTCCCGGTGACAATACAATATTTTAACTTTTTGAAACCACAAAAATGCTTAATTATAGTAAAATTTAAGTAAAACTTTTTTATATGGGAAAACAATCCAATGTCAATGATATAAAATTTTGATTTGTTTAAAATATTATATTTGAAATGCTCAAAAGTCATTTATGTGATTCATTATGGTTTAATTAATATTACTAAATATTAATTACACTATAAATTTGAGCAGCTAAAGATATTCCGGTAAGACAAAAAAATTGACATGTAATTTTTTCATAAATATTCGTAAGTGAAAATTTGAATTTTCAAAAAAACCGTTAAGCACAAGTCCGTTACGAATTAATGCAAAATAACTATTAATATGAGATATGCATTTAGCACACATAGTTTGAGCATATATTTATGCTGTTTTTAATGTATTACATTATTTATAAAACTTCACAAACTTAATTAAATTTACTTTTCTATTTATTAACGGCTTGAAGTATATTTGTATATAAACACAAAATCTCCAAGATTCATTTTTAATGTCCTTTACTAATGAATGTTTTAAAAGCACAGAAAGCGCACATAATTGAAGTTCAGGATATTTTTTAAGAAGTTTCATCTGTTTCCAGGTATGACTTAAATTATAAAACAAATGAATTAAAAAATGTAATCTATAAACAGTTGAACGAAACGGAGTAAAACGAAGTGGAGTTGAATTTGAATTGCTGTGGTCGATATTCGATTGAAAGATTGAGACTAAAAAGTAGCAAATAAAAAAAATGTTAAAAAAACTTTTTAAAAAACACGCTTTTTCCCAAAGACTTAAAAAACAAATAACATTTTTTCTTGAAGTTAAATCTGTTGTTAAGACTAAAAACCAAGCGACCAAAACAGGAGCAAATAAAAAAACGTTAAAAAACTTTTTAAAAAACACGCTTTTATCAAAAAGATTAAAAACCAAAAGGTTGAAAATAAAATAAGATCACACTTTTAGCAAATCAGGATTTTAAAAGTTTTCTTGTGACAACTAGAAATGTAACATAAGTTTTTTTCAAAAAATTGTGATTAAGTCCAAGAACACAATGACTCTAAAAGCGTGGGGCGTAATTTAAGGATGAATTTCTTAGTTCAACTAAGTTCTTAAGTAAGAGTAGGTCAAATCTCAAAGCCCCACGCTTTTAGAGTCATTGTGTTCTTGGCCTTAATCACAATATTTTGAAAAAAACTTATGTTACATTTCTAGTTGTCACAAGAAAACTTTTAAAATCCTGATTTGCTAAAAGTGTGATCTTATTTTATTTTCAACCTTTTGGTTTTTAGTCTTTTTGATAAAAGCGTGTTTTTTAAAAAGTTTTTTAACGTTTTTTTATTTGCTCCTGTTTTGGTCGCTTGGTTTTTAGTCTTAACAACAGATTTAACTTCAAGAAAAATGTTATTTGTTTTTTAAGTCATTGGGAAAAAGCGTGTTTTTTAAAAAGTTTTTTTAACATTTTTTGATTTTTTTGATAGAAAAAAGCCATTTAACACCCATTTCAAGTATTTAAGTTGAACTTTATGTGCTTTACTATGATTCTGTGTAACATTTTGTCAGCATGTAGCTATAGGAAGCTCAGAATTTAAAGTAAGCCGATTTTAAGCCGATCGGTTGTAGTTTAACTACAAATAAGTTTTTTGGTATTTTTCAATGACAAACAATATTTAAAGGGCTCGTTCACTTATTACGTAACGCAAAAAAACGAGTTTTTAGACCCCCCCTCCCCCCCCCTGTAACAAAGCGTAACAAAACCTTAGACCCCCCCTCCCCCCCCCATAACGTAACAATAATTTTTTTCATTTAAATTGTTTATCAAATGTTTATTATACTTCCTTTAAGTATGTAAAATAAACAGTTTTACTTATAACTAAAAAGCAGAGATCGAAGCCGATTTTTTCGGCTTAACTCAATTTTTGATTTTTTTGATAGTAAAAAGCCATTTAACACCCATTTCAAGTATTTAAATTGAACTTTATGTGCTTTACTATGATTCTGTGTAACATTTTGTCAGCATGTAGCTATAGTGAGCTCAGAATTTCAATTTAGCCGATTTTAAGCCTTAAATTTCGGCTTATCATTCTTTAACTTGAAATTCTGAGCTTCCTATAGCTACATGCTGACAAAATGTTACACAGAATCATAGTAAAGCACATAAAGTTCAATTTAAATACTTGAAATGGGTGTTAAATGGCTTTTTACTATCAAAAAAATCAAAAATTGAGTTAAGCCGAAAAAATCGGCTTCGATCTCTGCTTTTTAGTTATAAGTAAAACTGTTTATTTTACATACTTAAAGGAAGTATAATAAACATTTGATAAACAATTTAAATGAAAAAAATTATTGTTACGTTATGGGGGGGGAGGGGGGGTCTAAGGTTTTGTTACGCTTTGTTACAGGGGGGGGGAGGGGGGGTCTAAAAACTCGTTTTTTTGCGTTACGTAATAAGTGAACGAGCCCTTATCTCATAAATGACAATAATTGATGGAAGAATTAAAGGATTTGATGAAGATCTTGTTCATCGATTATTGATGACATTGATTCTGATAATCTTTAAGGATAAATTACGATTTATTTTTTGAATTATTCATGTCAAGAAACTGAAGTTTCTTATGAATTGAGAGCTTTGAGGCTTTTAAGTAGTTTTGTATTTTGTTATTATCAATGGACTGAATGAATTCTAAACCAGACCAAATGTAACAAATTTACGACACGGCCAGAATTGGCAGAAACATTAAAGTAGGCACAACATACTAGCTTTAAATTTCATAAAACATTTGATATTTTAAATCATTCTATTCAAGGACATTGATATTCATCCATCCATGATCTTCATGCCCAATCAAATCACTTCCATCAATTTCTATAATCCTGTGAGATTTCCTGTTTTTAAATTATTATTCAGTTTAATAAATTTTGACTCTACTATATTATTTTTCTTTTTGTATCTATTTAATTCTACATTATTCACTTTAAGAATTTCTTGCTTTTGCAATAAATTCCTTTTCCTTGTCTGTAAATCCGAGGATACTCTCAATTGCCTGCAAATGTCCTTGTGTATTCTCCTTGTCTGTCAAGAAATAGTAAATTGCTGACTTCAAAAACTGAAGTGTAATTTCTGGATCGACACGTGATGGCTTTGTCTCGTGAGCATCAACAAGTCGTTTATACATTGTCTGGAATATGAGGCGAGAATTAAGGATTAAGGTACGTAATGTTTTATTCGTGAATTAAGTTATGATCATTTTCATCATAAATGACATGTCTATAATGAATTATGAGGAATTGTGACTGAATTATCCAAGATATATGAAAAGCTTGACAAGTTCTTAGATAATGTTAATCACAAAGGACATAATTTAATGATAGATAATAAAAAGTGAGTGTGAAAAACATAAAAATGAAGTTTAGATCTTATGCAAACAGAGAAACACAAAAGATTATCATAGATTGTCAGCAGTGTTCAAATTATTATTTCTAGGATGCAGTAACAGTTAATTTTGAGAAGATTATGCTTTTTCGGACTCTATTTAAGGTTTCTTTTGATTCGTTGAGTAAGAAATTGATCTTTTTAAATGTTCAATATCCTACAAGATCAAAAGATCACGTCATTTACGTGATTTACATTAGAAATGAAGGCTGTTTGAAACCTACAACGAGCTAGAGCCTTTAACATTTAATTTCTGTAGTTTTAATAGAGGAAAGGCTGAGATTTTGTTGGTAAAATCTAAATCTTTGTAGATCAGAGTGTATTTACCTTAAATTATTGATGAAGCCAGTAAAAGATCCAGGAGAGGACGATAATAAGGAAAGGCCATGGACTAAAAATAATCTAACAACGAGTGATGGATTCAATATAAGTAATTAATTTCTGTAATAATTGTAAAAGTTTCTCCACTAAATTGTATCATTAGTTAAAGCAATTCTTTGTTAGTGAATGCATTCATCCCATGTTAATAATTTGAACACCACTGCAATGTTTTAAACATATTAATGATCATAATGTGATGTAATGTATAAATTGTGTACTCTTAAAAAACAAAAAAAAAAATATTTCCAACTAAAACTAGTTCAAGTTTTGCGACGGAAAATGTCCATAAAAAAATATGTCAACTCAAAACAAAAAATCAAACGGGAAATTAAAACAAAAATTTCCAAAAATAAGAAACAAAATTGAGTGAAAAACGTTTCTGTTTCTGTTTCTATATCCAAACATTTACCTTTCTCGCGCCAAGCAACCAAAGTGAAATTGCTTCTTTCGCACTCAGCAATGAGTCATTTCCAGTCGCTAGACTATAATGTTCATCCTAAATTATAAAATTTTTTATCAAATTTATCATATTCATCACTTCTTCATCATGTTTACGGGCAAAATAAATAAAGGCAAGAAAAAGAATCTCAAAGAAAGAAAAAAATTGTTAACAAAAAATTAATCTTTTTAAAGGAAAAATAGTCAGCTGGTGTGGTAATAATGTGCCATGATTTTTAAATGATAATGTTGTTATGTACAATGCGAATTGCAAGTATCTTAAAGTTGATTCGCATGGTTAGGACCGCATGCTCTTATTTTTGAGTATTAATGGTTCGCATGCATGCGATATGTTAAGTTTCATGCAAACTGAATTTTATGGCTTATAATAAGAGTGCATATATGCAAGAGTCTGTTGGATGTTTGAATTTTGACACTGTTAATGACAACCAAGAACTTAAGAGGAAATAAATCCTCAAAGCATCTTTGCAGAAATTGAACCATCGAGGAAGCGATGATAACAAAACAACTTGTTCTAGCTTCATCTGTAATAGCCTTAAAGAAGCTACACAAACAATCTTTAAGGTATTGCAATTCTTATGGCAGAACATAAAAGATACAAAAGCTCTAAGCATAACAAAAACGACACTAAGCTAGCTGTTTGCCAAATTCTTCTTCAACCACAAAGCACATTTGCATTGCAGCACATTAAAAAAATCTGGCAAGCATCCAAACTACAAAAAAAAACCTATTCAAAATCAAAAAAAATCATCAACTCACGCGTAAATTTTCCAACTCATCCTGAGTGACCTGCAATTGGTGTAAAAGTTCAGGCACAGAGATTCTTGCGACAGCCGTTGAAGTGCTGGGTCCAGCTTGCTCTTGATCCTTTGCATACATGTGTAAATACATTTTATTCGATTTATCTTCCTGTTCCGTAAATTTCTGCTGAAGCAATTCAAGTTCTCTTTCCAACTCACGAATGCGTTCTTTTGCCTGTCATTATTGTGTGCATGCAATTTGAACGAATATTAAAATTTGTAAGAGAATAAAAGTTGAAAGAGTAGGAAAAGGAAGAAGGAAATCCAACAATTAGTATTCCGGATTATGAGACCAACAGAAAAAGTTAAAATTAAAGTTTGAGGAATCACTAACTTGCTCGTAGTCGGGCATCAAGTCACAATAACGTAAATTACACTCATCCAGGCGCTGCAAAAGCGCCTCAACACGGTTATTTGTGCTGCGCTTTTCCTCACCAACTTCATTATCATGTTGCTTTATCAGTTCCTCAATCTTTTCCTCATACATTTGCACTAATCTTTGACGTTCCGAGTCAATATGAACTGGCTCGTCATCTTCATTGCCGACAGCACTAAAAGAATAAATTAAATTTATTAAATACCAGTCTACTGGATCTTTAACAGCTGTTAGACTTACCGATCCTGTGTATTCGCATAAGAATCCTTCGAATGAATAGATGACGTCGTTATATCTTCAAAATGTCCCGAGTCAGCAAACGAACTTTGCATCTCTGAGCTACATAACTTATCAATAAATTGCACCTGGTGAATGCTATGATGCAATGGTGTACGACTTACATGACGAGGACTTGACTTAAAGGCATCATCAACCATATCTACCATAGGAGACGCTATTTCTGATGCTGGCGTTTGCAATTCATTCGTAGTATTCTCACGAACAGTCGGGACGGACGCACAGTCACTGGATTTTGAACATTCCTCGGGCGAGCTTAGTGATGCCTTAAAAAGTCTCAATTCGACAACTTCTTTCGTTAATTTTAATATTTCACTATCTTTTTGTTCCAAATCAGCCTTTGCAATTGCCAAGAGATCCTTTAGTCTTCTAATATGTCGATGTGCACGCTGTGTTGGCGTTAAATATTCATCGCCGCATTTATCAGCAAAACTCGAGCAATGAACAACATATTTCATCTTACGTCCACTAAATGTCGTTCCATTTCTCGCAAAATATGGATGTTCACAATTTGATGAAGCCATTGACGAGTAGCTGCTCATTGAATCGAGATCATCATCAATACAGACACGATCTGGTGTTACAGGCGGTGTCTTTGGACTATTTGTAGACTTTATATAACGTGTGCCATTGGGCGTTTTCGGTGTTTGTGGTGTTCGTGGTGAGCGTGAAGGATTTACAGACCCATTGAGGTTTAGTGTCTAAAATAAATAATAGGAATTGAATTACAAATGTCATTTACACCTACATACTGCTCGCAATTCTCCTTTCTGTGACATACAAAATTGTATGAAAAAATCAATAACATAAAAGTATCTTCTTATTCCTACATAGAAAGTTTCCGCAAGATTGATTATATAACTATTATAACACACCTACATGATGATATATTGCCATTGAACATGGTACTGGCAATTGTCCAAAATTCAAAATATTGAATTTTTCTAAGGACGTAAAATTAAATGTCAACAACTCACCATTCCTCGATCATTTTTCGTGAAGCTATTACGTCTCAAGTCACTATTCATCTGTTTAATGTTTATAGCACGATCAACTTGATCTGTACCACCCGTATCAACATGATTAGAATCTGATTTTGTGTCCATCGAGAAGCTGCCACGTCGAATTCTTTGTAAATTTAATTTTAAATGCTCTTTATCGTCAGCTCTCGAAAAAACTTTGTTGTGCTGCTTCAATGTCGTTTCGTTCAACTGATTGAGTAAACAGTTAGGACGCATGCGCATGCTATATGTCCTGTGAAACGGTATCGGAGAGCGAGAGATGACGGGAATGCGACTAAACTCACTGTCTGCATATCGTCTCTGTAAAATTGGTGTTGAGGGTTTCGATGACATTGTTGTTTTATGTAATAAGAAGGGGGAACTTCCTCTTCATATGATTACTGCTCGTCGGCAGTCTGGAAAGAGAGGGAAGATGAGAATTGTTTTAATAAACAGATGGACAAGAACACGTGGTTCTGTTTTGCTGCGATTTCTTCTTTTTTTATTGCCAATCTGTTCGTTAATTAAACCATAAAGTAATTCAAATCATAACATTCCGATTCCAATTAGTGCTTCTTCCACTTTTTCTTTTGTTCTTTGTTCCGTAATTTAAATCATTATTGCTGCTTGTTTTTTGTTCTCTATTATGAACTTGAGCTACATTTTTACCTTTATGAATTATTCAAAAAAGATATATTAACTACTGTCCGAACTATGGAGTGCAATGGATTGGCGTGTATGGAAATTTCTAAAGGGAGAAATCGATTAGCATTTTCATGTACTTTTCGGATAGATTTAAATGGATTTTGTTTTCAAAAGAATTTTGTGGAATTTATTATTATTGTGGACAAGACACTATTGATGGATGTTCTGACTATTAGACCTTTAAAACCCCCTAATTTGTCTCAATATCTCTGATGCATCTTGTATTGAATTAGCACCTGGAAAGTAAAATTCATTGTGTTTATGGAGAAATCAGCTAAGAGATCTTCATAATCCCGATTCGTTTGGGTTGCATTATACCCTAGCTATGCTCATAACCTCAACATGTCAAAAACATCGATAGCTATGCTCTATTCACATCCAACAATGAGAACATCAACTAATCCTTAATCTCAAATCATTAACAGTCAATTCTATACTTTGATACCAAACAACAAGTATTAAATCAGCTTTTGGCTGCTCAAAGATCAATGCTTTAATATATTCCATAGCAACAACTCCATCAAATGCATATAGAATACCTGCATAGCCACAATAATTTAAAATAATGAATTTTCTATATTCATTTAAACCCAAATCACTGCAATATCGCATCCAGCATAAAAAACATCAATGCCATAAAAAGTTTAAGCACATCTGAATGCCACCTCATATAGGGAAATACCAAAAACAAATTTCACATATTTTTTTCCTCTTTTATTTGATTTTAATTTTAGACTGTTGTTAATCGATAAATCAGTAGCATGTGCCACCTTCATAAAGCAGCTATTTTCATGATGATACAATTGGCACTCTTACAGAGAAAGAACAATCGTGATAAAACAATCAATACCTTTCACCAGCCAACACCTTACACTTGATTGTTAATTATTAATCGAAAAATTAACTTAATTATACTAATTAGGTATTTTGCATAATTTGCTAGCTATTTAGGTGCGCCGCATTTCTTTATCAAAAATCAATTGAAAATTTCTACTAGCTTTTACTTCTCGGAATTTATTTTCAGCTCAGGTCAAATCAATTTTCTATTTTTATTTTTTCGTATCTCGCTGCATTCGATATGGTTTATGGATTTTAGTTCAAAATTTGCACATTTCTTTATCTGTGAATCAGCCTTGAAATGAAACAGTGACAGACGCTTGCTGCTTAATGACGATAAGAAGTTTATGGCTACAAAGAAGAATTTGATTCAAGTTTAAGTAGACAGATTGGAGCCAGGTCAGTTGTTTTTGAAATTGTTGCGGTTGTTTATCAGTTTGTCGGGAGTTTTTTTCATTAAGAAATTGGATTTCTGAGATTTTATTTGTTGTTTTTTAAAGTATTAAGTTTCTATGTCGGAAGAAGAATCAGAAAATGTTATTTTATGAACTGAACTATGAGATTGAACAGAAAGGAATTTATTGATCAATATTTAAAAAGAAATCTAGATTTAGATGTTGCTCTTACTAGACTTTCAATACAGTTATTAGCAAATCTATCAAAATATTGGAAATTGACAATCGAACTTCACAAATCCATCAAACTCTCGAATTTTTCAACTTCAAAGTATGAAAAATAACTTGTTAAAGTATCTGTCTTCGGATTCATCCTTTAAAGCATTCAAAAAAAGATTTAACATCTTCAGAAGATCATATAATAAAGATTATTGTGAGATTATGATTATTAAGTTATGCGGATTGAAAAAATTAGATTTAAAACTTAAGTATGTAACATCAAAAGCTCATAATGCAATATAAAGAAATGCAGTAATTAAGTAGTTTTATGGTGCATTGATGTGCAGCGACGCCAATCTTTAATAATCATAAAAAGTATTCAGATAAAAAAAAACATTGGTAATCTTACAGTATGGATTACAGCAATCAGATAAATTGGTTATGCGGTTTGAGAGTTTGCAATGGAAACTTGTGAGAATTTCTTTTAATTTTCTTTGTTATCGAGCTATTGATAAGTAGTGAATCTGCCAAAGCAAGAGTAATGATTCTATGATCGAGTGGTTATGCAACAGACCGGGGAAACTCGAATACTCTTTACTTCTAAAGTTGTAGGTTTGATTCCCACAAATAGTCGATCTATCAATTGTTAAAAAGAGCCGTAGTCTGTGTGACGCAACACTTTTGAAGCTAATACAAAAGGATTACTATGGGTCCTCGATATGAGTAGATTCGATTTGAATAGGATTTTTCTGGAACAAAACACCTACTCAAATCGAGGACCCCCTGTACTGATATTTGACTAAGAATATTATAATGTTACAAGGATTCGCTTAGTGGGCTCATTAGATTAAAGTATGCCTCGAAATCAGTTCTATAAAAGACTAAAAGAAGTTCATATTCATAGGTCACACTTCAAATACTATCTTCTCCCTTAATCTTTGGTTCAAGTTACTTAAGAAGAAGTCCCAACATACTTCTATTGGAAAAGATCAGTTCAATCCAATAAAAATGACCAACATCAACTTATGTCATACCTGAAGTACTAATGCAAATCACTCGAATGAAATAGTTTCAGTGTGTGATGAAATAATTTCAAAGCATTTGACATAATTTTTAGCATGCAACCACTCAATGTCATATCAAGCCAATTCACATTACGATGTGATAATGACTACACAACCTTTTTTATATCTATTATTGTTAGAAATAAGAATAGCTAAAGCAAATTTATTGCAGAGTATTTTCATAATAAATAATTTCATGCCAGAATATTATATCACATCAATTTGTACTGAGCACCCATGATTATACAACTTATAAAAAAAATAAAATAAAAACTTTTTTTTACTGCTCCAAATAAACATTTCATCTCAATTAGCTTAATTCGTTTCCATTGCTAGACACTGCGACTTACTAATATCAAACATTGTGCCACAAGCAGATAATTTTCAACTGTTTAAATTCCATGATTCGTCACTCTTCTGTTACTACTTCTGTTTTTATTTTTTTTGTGCGGTTGAAAAATACAGCTTTTAAGTCAGCATTTACCGATAATTAACATTTGACTGTTTTACAGTCTGCTTCACTTGACTCACAATTATTATCTGAATTGAATTTGGCAAATTCGGTTGTACAGGAAAATATGTAGAGACAGAGGTAGTCTGCGCAACGAATGAAAGGGAAATCAATGAACGACGACTGCAGTTGTTGTACAAATAAATGAGTTGATGTTCTAGGTTGATTGGGGGTTCTGATGAGAGTGACGGGAAGACATTAATTGATGAAAATTGATTGTCAAGTTGATCGTCAGACTTCTTCAATCTTCTGGATGTACTATCGTCTTACCAGGATTAAGGTTGATCAGTGATTTGACTGGACTTATGCTAAATCTAACCTAGGTACATTTAACTGTGTCTGTCTTTCCACAGGTAGAGCAAATGATAGATTTGACAAGGATTACTAAGCACAGACACGTTGGGCCGATTTCTCAGAGGACCTATCTTATTCACGGTTAAACATTATCTTTGATTCATAGATGATCGATGCTCTAGCTCAGATGAGCATTTCCCAAAGCTCACAAGCTGCCCATCACTAGATTCCAAGGCCACAGAACTCCCTGCACTATGTCTACACTCACTACTTTTTTACTCAACTTTACAAATTTTTACTTATGTTTCAGTACACTTCCTACACAATGTATCACAATCACTGCAATTATTAAACTTTACTGCACTTAACTCTTTTTTACTACTCTTTACTATACTTAAGTGCAATAACCTATACTTCACTTTACTTTACTTTACTTTAGTATACTTTATCACACTAAGCTTAATTTTACCACACTTTACTACACTTTAGTGCACTATACTCATACTTTTCTGTATTTTATTTTTAATCAAATTAATTAGTGCATAATTTCAATCTAAATAGCTATAGGCCTCTTAAACATGTAATCCAATAATACGGTATACTCATACTTTCAAAAAAATAAAATAAAAAATTTTGCAATCATTTTAAAAATTTAAAAGAAAATGTTCAGGAACTTATTTTTTTATGATTCTATCATTTTAAACCAAATTTAGCTGATGGAAAAGAAAGAGCTTACAAAAACATAAAGCACTAATGCTGCTAAGGCAGAAATACTTTCATTCATGTCAAAGAAATTTCTAATTGATACCTTAAGTTTGTAAGGAAATTTGTCAAAAATAAAATAAAAGTATAGTAAAGAAAAATCGAAAAATTTTAAAAAAAATCTAAAATGTTGTACTTTTGTTTTTAAAAATGAGTAATTTTAATTGAAAACTTTATTTTGAAATTCAGGAGAAATATTTTTTAATAATTTTTAAAAAATTATGAAAAATTTTGCTTTAGCTTTACAAATAAGTTTATATTAAAAAACTAATTGTGTAAAGTTTGAATTTTTCAAAAAAGCTATAATTACAAGCTTTATATAAATTAGTTTTAATTTATTTGCATTTCAAAATTGAATGAAGGGACTGTAGAAAAACAAAATTTTAAATTTATTTTATATTATGTTGGTTTTTTATTTCAACAAGATTAACTTTCCAATAAAAACTTTTTGAAAATAAATATCAAAAGTGTTGATAACATTTAATTTTTCTTAAAACCAACAATATCAAAAACATTGATTCTCACTATTCTTTCGTTACTGTTCTTCGTAATTAGGATGGCATCCTTAATGTTGAAATATTTGAATTTAGTTTAATAGTTTTATTTTTTTATATGAGAAAAGCTTCATTTTATCATTTAATGCATAAAATTTCAAATAATAAGCGGTTCTAAGTTGCAATAATATTGACTATTTATAAATAAATTGAATGGTAAAATATACATTATTTCAAAATCAATGCACATCAACTTTAATCATTTTAGTTTTTAAAGTTTTAAACAGTTTTAGGATGCTGCACTTCCTATACTTTTACTGCACTTGCTATACTCTCACTATACTGACTATACTTTTACAACACTTAAACTACACTTGCTACACTTTGCTACATTCTACTATACTTTGGTTAACTTTGCTTCACTTAACAATATTTAACTACACTTTGCTCATATTAACTTAATTTTACGCAATAGTTTGTATACGTTACTGCACAATGCTCACTCACGGCTATACTATTTTGGGAGTTCTATCACTCTCGAACTCCAGAACCCCTAAAATCCAGCAAAATAAAGAAGGGGTAGCAAAAAAATAAGCATATCCATTCTATTATTCTACAATCGAGGAAATAAGAATGTCAAGGTCACGTTTTAGGGTGCTTAAATTTATATTTGCGGCATTAGCCACGATCCACGATTGTTTATAAACTTAATACACGTTATTAATCGCTTTTTATTAAATTTTTCCAATGAAGGTTTCTTAATACACATTTTCATTGATTGCATGACCTAAAAATAGTGCAATTGCATTTGAGAAATCTCTCATTTTATATGAGTTTTTATTGTTAAGCATCTCATAACAGGCAATAAATTTTAATTTTCGTAAAAAAAATAAAGCAACAACAACTCTTGTTGATT